TCCACGTTTGCATATGCCTAGAGTTAATCAAGGGAGGGGACAGGCAGATAGAAAGAAAGAGGGAAAACTAGACGCAGAAGAGAGAGAGGGAGGGAGAGGCCAGGCTTCCACTGTTGTTCCATTCGGCTTCCTAATCCTGCTCTGCCTCAAGCATTCAATTAACTCCTCACCAGCAGATCAAATGACTGGCTAAAAGAGAGTGTGACCGAGCCTAAATGCTAATTAATACTTAAGAATCAATGCCCCTCAATACTAAATGTCAAATAACAGTACAAGAGAGAACAGAGCAGTTCAGATGAAAAGCTCACTTTTGTATTATGATGGATATTTAGGTTTCTAAGATGAAAAATAACAGCCAGGCCAGTACAGACACGTGGGCGCGGGCTGAATGTCAGAGGAGACATAATGGGGAAAGAAAAGTGAAAGGTGCTCTGTGCCAGACGCTTCAGCGAGAAGCTACAGCTGACCCACATTACCAATAATGTACTCTCTTTTTCTCTTTTGTTGTCCATTTGTCACTCTCACTCATTCTTTCTCCAGGAGGTGTTACAGGTACACAATGGCTATAATAGAATGTTGCTCAATCTAGGACTCTCTTTACACCTGGTTTTAGGATCCATCTCGGCTGACGGCCAGATGAGACGGATCATCAGATACCCCTTGGTAGTAACAAGCCTTTCCAATGCATCTCCTGTGACCACTTTTGATTGCATTTTGAGGGGAAAAATGTTACTGTAAGTGCTGTAAATAGATTATAAATCTTTAACTAATTAATTGTTTTATATTTTTGCTGATGAATTGTTTTTTTTTCATTAATCCTATGGAATATTAGGTAATTAATTATATATAATATTCACATTTGTAATCATTAATATAAATTCCACACTGAAATTAATCCACAAATTATGTAGAATATATATAAAAGGAAGATTTTATGCATTATATTTACATTATGTAAATTTAAACTAAACGTAAGTATATTTTAAAGTGCCCCAATACGCTTTTTCGGATATTATCTTTAATGTAGTGTATGATATAGTTGTTTGTGAATGTAAAAGGTCTTCAAATATCAAAGTGCACAACAAAAGGAGTTATTGCCTCCCAAAAGAAAGAACCGATTCTGAACTGCCTGAAACATGTTGTCGGAAATTTCAGTCTTGCTTCCAGCACAAACCTACGTGTTTCAACTCATTTGCATAATGCTCTTCACTGGCTGCCCGCGAACAACGTGTGCTTAGGCCCGCCCTCAAACACTATAGCTGTAGTTGTTCATGTTGTCGGCATGTCTAGAAGACTCTTACATGTACTCCCAAAGGATGAAGATGTGAAGAGGTCAGTGGTTAAAATTAATTTTACAGTGACGCAGTATAACTCCAAACTTTCAATGTGTTCCCATCCTTTACTGGTGACTGCTTGTCAAATCTTGCCGAGTTCAAAATGCCCAGATGTACCCACTTTCATTTTTATGTATATATTTTCTACCAAGTGCTCAAAATGCATAGTTTTGTGCTGTATAAGGTGTACACCCAGTGCACCTCCAAAGCAAAATTACAACCTTTAAAACAACATAATAGGGGAACTTTTTTAACCAAGAACAGCCAGTAACATCAATACCATGATTCCGATACCTCCATTAAATAGATTTTTTAATTAACCTATATATTAATATATTTAACCACAAACATGATGTTTTAGCACAACAGTTCACTGAAAGCTAACTAAACCTAAATTTAAATGGGTAAAAAACAGAAATCTCCAAAACAAGCTTACATATTTCAGTAATATACTGTTCACCACCAATCAAAAGTTTGGGGCAGATAAGATTTTTTTCATGTTTATGAAAGAAGTCTCTTATGCTCACAAAAACTGCATTTATTTGATCAAAATGACAGTAAAAACAATAATATTGTCAAAAATTATAACAACTTAAAATAAATGTTTTCAATTTAAACATTTTAAAATGTAATTTATTCCTGTGATGCTAAAGCTGTCTCTTCAGTGTCACAAGATCCTTCAGAAATCAATCTAATCTGCTGATTTGCTGCTCAAGAAACATTTTTTATTATTATCAATGTTGACAATTCTTAA